GTGCTGCTGCTGCTACTGCTGCCGCTGCTGCTGCTGGTGCTGCTGCTGCTATGTGAGTCAGCGGGTAATTGCTAGTTAGATGCAGGAGATTGCTTCACAGCTCAGCCTCAGCGCAGCTATGGATGGCGTACGTGTCGTCTGCTAACGGGTTATTATTATTATGCGCTGGCTGGATACGATTATGAATTCCTTGCTGCTGTATTCGAGATGCTGAATTCCTTGTCCGCTGTGTGGGATGTGATAACAACATATCCGTGATGTCGGGAGACTTCGGAGTGTGCGATATGATGATTTCTGTTCTACACCTCGTGTTGCGGCTTGCTGTGTGTGTGTTTGTTGTACAGTCGGCGTGCAGTCGGCGTGTCTTATTAGATGTGTGCAGTGCGTCGGGGAATGATGCGCGGTGTTCTTTGTCGGGTCTGATGTTGCACGAGATGGAGCGTTGCGGTGTCGGTAGTGTTGCGGTGTCAACAGTGTCGCGGTGTCAACATTGTTGCAGTATCTAGTATGTTGCAGTGTCAACATTGTTGCAGTATCTAGTATGTTGCAGTGTCAACATTGTTGCAGTATCTAGTATGTTGCAGTGTCTACATTGTTGCGGTGTCAACACTGTTGCAGTATCTAGTATGTTGCAGTGTCTACATTGTTGCGGTGTCTACATTGTTGTGGTGTCTACATTGTTGCGGTGTCTACATTGTTGCGGTGTCTACATTGTTGCGGTGTCTACATTGTTGCGGTGTCTCCACTGTTACGCGGTGTGGCTACAGCAGTGGTTCTGAACCTTTTTTGAGTCATGGACCCCTTTGAGAATCTGGTGAAAGCTATACGGACCCCTCCTCAGAAAAATGCACATAAGCACATAAACACACAGTTTTGCATGCGCCAGGGCCCCGTTGTCAGAAACAAAATTAGTCTTAACATTAGTCTTAACACTAACATTTTCTCGTAGACGTAGACCGTCGACAGCACTTTTGTTTCGTATTGTTACGAGGAAATCTGCTACGATTTTTCATTCAGGTAATTTCGCAGCGTTTCTGACGACGGTCTAAGAGAAAAATTTAATGTTAAGACTAATGTTAAGACTAATTTTGTTTCTGACAACGGGCCCCTGGTTCACGGACCCCCTGAAGCCCATCCACGGACCCTAAAGGGGTCCATGGACCACAGGTTAAGAAGCCCTGGTCTACAGCAGTGTCTCCTCGTGCTTACAGAGAGCGACACGATCAGCATGGGCAGCAGTAGCGGCGGCAACGCGGCGCGAAACCCGGCCGGCTACGGCGACCGCGGCATGGGCGGGGGCGCCACCGACGACGCCCACGCCGCCGCCACAGCGGCCGCCGTGCTGGAGCGGTTTAACGGAGCAGGAGGAGGAGGGACGCACACGGGAGACAGCAGTCCCGCCGACGCGCAGCCGGCAGACGACACGGGCAGCGAACACTCGTTCAGCTCACGCTCGGAAGGTGAGGGGGAGGGGGTGTGCGCGTGTGTGAGGGGGAGGGGGTGTGTGCGTGTGTGTGAGGGGGAGGGTGTGTGGGAGTGTGTGTGTGTGTGCGTGCGAGTGTGCGTGCGTGCGTGCGTGCGTGCGTGCGTGCGTGCGT